GCCAGCTCCAGAGGGCTTTGAAGAAGGGCGAGCTTTTCTACCATATCAGGTGAACTCCAGCAGGATTCAGGAACTCAGACTTGGAGGGATAATCTCCCCGTGGTGTTAACCAGCAGGGCTAAAAACATAGAGTGTGGATGGTTTAACAATTACAGCTAACATTCATAGCTCATTTACCATGTGCTGACCAGTATTCCAAGTGCTTCTAGATTTAAAACTAATCTAATCCTCTCAACAGCCTCTGAGGCAGACACTCTTATTATGCTCATTAGCAGATGAGGAAACTGAGGCACAGGGAGAGGTGAAGGGCCTTCCCCAAGCACACAGCAAATAAGTAGCAGAGATAGGATTTGAACCCAGACCTCTGAATCCAAAATCTGGGCCTGAACCATCATTGTACTGTCCTGCTGACATAGCATGTATTTTCATATTTATAGAAAAATCTGGAAGTTTAGCAGCAAAAAGTATAAGCAGTGCTTTTCTTGGGATCTTCCAACTGGGATGTCATGGGAACTTTGATTTTCTTCCATTTTCCAAATGTTCTATTACCTGTGTATGTGGAGAAAAGAGGTGTGGATGTAACAGGGCCCTCGGCAGTGCCTTATCCCCCCAAGATGCCTATCTTGTTTGAACCCTGTTTTAAAGGTATAGTTAGATGCTGCTAGGTCAATACCTTAAGATACATCACTTTTGCCCTAGCCAGTTTGGCTCAGTGGATAAAGCGTTGACCTGCAGACTGAAGGGTCCCAGGTTTGATTCCGGTCAAGGGCATATGCCCAGGTTGCAGGCTCAATCCCCAGTAGGGGGCCTGCAGGAGGCAGCCAATCAATGATTCTCTCTCTTCATTGATGTTTCTATCTCTTCCTCTCTGAAATCAATAAAAATATATTTTAAGAAAAGATACAGCCTGGCCAGCGTGGCTCAGTGGTTGAGCGTCAACCTATGAATCAGGAGGTCACGGTTCCATTCCCGGTCAGGGCACACGCTTGGGTTGCGAGCTCCATCCCCAGTAGGGGGTGTGCAGGAGGCAGCCAATCAATGATTCTCTCATCGTTGATGTTTCTCTCCCTCTCTCACTCTCCTTTCCTCTCTGAAATCAATAAAAAATATAAAAACACAAAAAACAAAAACATTACTTTCATGGAGCTAAGATGTCCAAACTACAAGGCACCTTAGAGCTTAATTCCTATTTCTCCTGCGTTGCCTATGAGGAAATGCAACCCACAGAGAGTAAGGACATGGCTGAGAGTTCACACAGCCGCAGAGCTCCCGGGGCAGCCTTGCGGTTCTGTTTTCTCATGAAATCATGCTGCCTCCAGAGTGGGAGGAGTCACAGTCGCTTCCCTCTGCTCTTTTCTCTCTGAGGCTGGAAGCAGCACCTGACCCTGCTGACATCACATCCTATTGTCCTAGAGTCTGGCCTGGGGTTTCCAGTGACTAAAGTTGCAACTCGGGGAACTTTCCATCCGAGTAGGGCCCTTTCCTGGAGGCTTTCTCCCTGCAGGAAGCTGTCACAACCTTCCCCATTGCTTCAGAGCAGAGGGGATTGTGCAACATGGCTCGGAGGTCTTACATGGACTCCGTGGAATCCGTGGCTGTTAGATTCAAGTCCAAACCCCAAGCCCAGCGTTTGAGGCCCTTAGCTATGTTTTCCTGGCCTTCATCTCTTGTCTCCCCTTCCTCACTCAGTCCACTTACGTTTGTATTTTTCAAACAGAGAAGCGCCATGGCTTCTGGTTTACTCACCACAGGATCCCCAGAGCTTGCTGCGGACCTGGAGCACAGTAGTGCTCAATCATTTTTTGTTGAATGACTGACTGACTTGAGGTTCACAGAAATTCTTGCTCTGTGATTTCTGAAACCCTAGAGCTGAAGCGTGATTATTTTATTTCTAGTTAACTAAAATGCCTTTCTCACTTCCGTAAACTCAGTGGAATACTTTGTGACCATTCACAAAGCCATTTATGAAGAGCTTTAACAACTGGGAAAATGCTTATGGTGTAAAGTTAAACAAGAACAAGCTGCAAAATCTTACAGTCTTACAGAACCACGCCTGTGTGTGTGTGTGTGTGTGTGTGGTGTGTGTGGAGGGGTGGGGCGGGGGTTAGTTAGGAGAGAAAGTACCCTAATAGGATGCTATGTAACTTGTTTTCTTAGTTTCCCCCCGTTATTTCCCACGTTTTCTTTAGTGAACAACTATCTATATTAATAGAAGCATAATATGCTAATTAGATCAGACAGCCAAACAACCTTCTGGATGTCATCCAGACGTCCTTCCAGACAAAGCCACAGCAGTGGGGGACCGAGGCAGAGGTGGTTAGGGGTGATCAGGCAGGCAGGCAGAGTGGTTAGGGGTGATCAGGCAGGCATGTGAACAGTTAGGGGCAATCAGGCAGGCAGACAAGCAGTTAGGGCCATCAGGCAGGTAGGCAGAGTGGTTAGGGGTGATCAGGTAGGCAGAGAGGTTAGGGGCGATCGGGCAGGCAGGCGAAGGCAGTTAGGGCCAATCAGGCAGGCAGGCAAGCAGTTAGGGGTGATCAGGTAGGCAGAGAGGTTAGGGGCGATCGGGCAGGCAGGCGAAGGCAGTTAGGGCCAATCAGGCAGGCAGGCAAGCAGTTAGGGGTGATCAGGTAGGCAGGCAGTGGTGGTTAGGGGTAATCAGGCAGGCAGGCGAGTGGTTAGGGGTGATCAGGCAGGCAGGTGAGCAGTTAGGAGCCAGCAGTACCAGATTGTGAGAGGGATGTCCGACTGTCAGTTTAGGCCAGCCGTGGGCAAACTGAGGCCCGCGGGCCGGATCTGGCCCATTTGAAATGGGCCCTCTGGTCCAGTTTAAGAACCCATTGTGGCCCTCGAGTCAAAAAGTTTGCCCACCCATGGTTTAGGCCCACAGGGATCGGGCCTAAACCAGCAGTCGGACATCCCCCAAGGGGACCCGGATTGCGAGAAGGTGCAGGGCAGGCTGAGGGGACCCCCCTGCCCCCGCAAAAATTTTATGCACTGGGCCTCAAGTTAATTTTATAATAGAAAATGAAAAGAAGGAATACATTCTTTTTAGTATTGTCAATGGTAGCCCCCTGCAAATTTTGTAGTGCTTCCGAGTTGGCAAAATGCTTTTGGATCCACGGGCTCTTTTGATCTTTCTAACTATTCTTTGAAGATGGTGGGCCATGGTGGGCTGGCTCATTCATTCATTCATTCATTCATTCATTCATATTTCCCCTGTCAGGGCTGGGGCTTAGAGGTGAGGGTAATATTTAAGGAGGCATAAGGAGAGACCTAATCTTCAGATGCTGCAAGTGTTACTGGCTGTATTGATGGCAAAACAGCACCAGTTATTACTGGCTAAGTTGGACCTCATATATATATATATATATATATGAAGGAAGAGGGAGAGAGAGAGAGAGATAGAAATATCAATGATGAGAGAGAATCATTGATCGGCTGCCTCTTGCACGCCCCAAGAGATGCCCTGCAGGCCAGCCCCAGCTCCGGAGCTGCAGTTGGAGCGGCTGCTGGAGTAGAAATATCCATGATGAGAGCCTGCACACCCCCGACTGGGGATGGAGCCTGCAACCCAGGCATGTGCCCTGACTGGGAATCAAACTGTGACCTCCTGGTTCATAGGTCGATGCTCAACCACTGATACCGGTCGGGCTGGACCTCGGTTCTTGAGTTCGGCAAAGAAAGATTTCAGAACCAGGAACTAAAATTAAAAGAGAAAGTTTATCTAGATAGTTACAGAGGTAGTAGAAGTGAGCCAGCTGGGCTGCGTAGGCTCAGCAAACAAGTTACAGAAACAAAAGAAGGCCCCTGTTGGAGCTTAGGAAAGAGAAAGGCAATGCTAACATGTAGGGGCAGAGGGAGGGAAAAAGAGGGAGGGGGGGAAGGAAGGTACAGGGGTGCAGGCTGGGGAGGTTTTAGGGGAGGTTCTCTAGAATATTTATCAGCTTTATGTTGATGCACCAAGATGTGCTTTATTTCCCTGACTTCCATCCTTGGATGTGGTTGGCAAAATGGCACTAATTGGATTTTCTGTTATCTATTTCCCTGAGTAGGGTGATTGAAGTTATTTACCCTCTGGTTGGGGAAAAGTGTAAACCAGGTACTTTAATGGCAATTTCCTAGATGGCTGTGAACTGTCTCAGTTTCCCTATTCTACTTGGTCTGGCTTACTAGCCTGTCCCAAGTGCACCATCAGCCCTAAGAATGAGCCCCTCAGGTTTTGCCCCCTGGTGCCCTCCCCTGCCTCATCCTAGTCCTGGCCCAGGCCCCCCTTTGTGCCAGGCACTGTTCTCTGTTCTGGGGATCTAATAGTGAACAGAACATGTAAAACTCCTTCACAGGGCTTCTATTCTGGAAGGGGAGACAGGGAAAGTTGTTGCCCCGCTATTACAGTGGAGGAAACAGGCTCCATGGGCTTGCTCAAAGCAAATAAGCAGCTAAAGCTCGAGGCCCCTGATCCTCACACCCAGTGGTCTTTCTCCAAAGTCTTGTGTGTTATCGACGTTGATATTTATTTATTTATTTAATTTATTTTTTAAAAATATATTTTATTGGTTTTTTACAGAGAGGAAGGGATAGGGATAGAGAGTCAGAAACATTGATGAGAAAGAAACATCGATTAGCTGCCTCCTGTACACTCCCCACTGGGTATGTGCCCGAAACCAAGGTATATGCCCTTGACCGGAATCGAACCCGGGCCCGGAATCGAACCCGGGACCTTTGAGTCTGCAGGCCGACGCTCTATCCACTGAGCTAAACCAGTTAGGACGAGACGTTTATATTTAGGTTCAAGTGTTGATGTGCTGGTCCCCATGGGTATGAAATGGAATCAGCATTATAACTTGGGCTGCCTGTGGACCCCAGCTGATGGTGGAATTTCTGGTAAGGTAGGGGGCAGATGGGGAAAAAGTTATGGACAAAGCCTGGCTAATACACTGACCCTCTCATGGAGGCACTGCTTTGCTAACTCTAAGCGGATCCTCTCACTCGCCTTCTAGCCTCCTATGTGATCACGGACCTGACCCAGCTGCGGAAGATCAAGTCCATGGAGCGGGTGCAGGGCGTGAGCATTACCCGGGAGCTGCTGTGGTGGTGGGGGATGCGTCAGGCCACCGTCCAACAGCTGCTGGACCTCCTGTGCCACCTGGAGCTGTACCGTGCCGCCCAGATCATCCTGAACTGTGAGTCACCAAGAGGGTGGGCCCCCTGAGCAGGAGCTGCATGTACTCTCCTGCCTTTAAACCTTTGTGAATCTTTAAAAAAATTAAATGAGCTTTGTACATTGGCAGTATCATAGCCAATGAGGTTTATCCGAGGCGCGATTATTACTAATTGGAAACTTTTCCCAATACTCCGATATGACAACTTGAAATAGTCAGCATTAGCGATTAAAAGTTTTTGAATGGAAAAAAAAAAGTTTGAATGAAAGAGTTTACCATCCAACTAAGAAATTAGTCACAGTTTAGGTCTGGTCATGGGTGGAGATGGGGTCACACCCAGCCGCCTGGATCCAGAGCCTTTATTCTTAGCTTTTCTCCTGGGAACATCAAAGAACGAAGTGTTTGGGTTTCCAGGAAACAGTGGCATTTTGCCTGCCCCCTTCTCTTCTGCGTAGAACTTTACTCAGACCCCTGCTCTCCTGTTCCAACGGCCCCTGTCCTCTCAGGGCTGTGAGGATCTGCCTTGGCTCCCCAGCCCTCTTTCTCTTCCCCTTGGCCGTGCTGATTGAAATTGCCTGAGGAAGAGAGAGTAAAGCCTGTTGGTTTCCACATCCACAAATCCCCTGGCTGTTCTTTTGTTTGGGGAGTTTGGTTGTGTTTTTACTGTTGCTTTGAGTCCTCAGGCAAGATAGTGCCCCTTTCTGTACCTTTTTATTTTCCGGAGGGGGAAAAAAGTGCTATCAATTTCTGTTACTTTTTGGAGGTGAGTAAAGAGGGTGTGTGAAAAGCATTTTAAGTTTCTGTATTCTAATTGGTCACAGCAGGTTTCCCTTCCCTGACTGTAGTGAGGCAGGACAGGAAGAAGCTAGGAAAATTTCTTGGCAAGTGGAATAGGGAAACTGAGACAGAGAGTTACTAGTAAATAGCAATTTGCAGCCATTGAGAAAATCTGATCTTCCCTAAACCAAGTGCAGTTAAGAGTAAATGGTTTGGCCCTGGCCAGTGTAGCTCAGTTGGTTGAGCATCCTCCCATGCACCAAATGGCTCGATTCCCAGTAGGGGGCGTGCAGGAGGCAGCCAATCAAATCTCTCTCACATCGATGTTTCTCTCTAAAAAATTAATTAAAAACTACTTTTTAAAAAAAGTAAATGGTTTGCACTTTTCCCCAACCAGAGGGTAAATAGCTTAAATCACCCTACTCAGGGAGAGAGATGGTAGAAATCCAATTAGTGCCATTTGCCAGCCACTGCCAAGGACAGATGAAGAGAATAAATCTCATTTTGGTACATCAGCATAAAGTTGATGAATAGTCTATTGAAATCCTCCCCTAAATAACCAGCCTTTATTTTATTTTTTAAATATATTTTTATTGATTTCAGAGAGAAAGAGAGATAGAAACATCAATTATGAGAGAATCATTGATCGTCTGCCTCTTGCATGATCACCAGGATTCAGCCCACAACCCAGGCATGTTCCCTGACTGGGAATTGAACTGTGACCTCCTGGTTCATAGGTCGATGCTCATCCACTGGGCCACACCGGCTGGGTAACAACCAGCCTTTAAAACCCTCAAAACAAGGTCCCAGCTCACATTCTCCCTCTCTCCCTCCCAGGAGCACACCTACGGCTTCCCTCCTTTTCCCCCCACAGGCATGCACCTCCTAAACTCTAAGGGACCCCATGAGGCTTGAGACCAGGTCAGCAATGGTCAGTGGCAGTTCATCTGGGGCAACCCCCCCGAACCTGTTCCTAAGGACCCGCTTCTCTCTGTTTTCTTAGTGAGCCAAAGCAGACCAGCCTAGGCTCATTTTCCCACCTAGTCCTTCTGTTATCCTAGGCCAGTGGTCGGCAAACTGCGGCTCATACTGACTTCTGCGCATGGGCCACGAAGTTTCAATCGCACTGTACATGCACGCCCTCACGTGGTATTTTGTGGAAGAGCCACACTCAAGGGGCCAAAGAGCCGCATGTGGCTCTTGAGCCGCAGTTTACCGACCACGGTCCTAGGCCCTTTCTTGTTTCACTGTCCCCAGCTTCAACAAATGTCCTCTGAAGTTCACCTGGACTCCTGTTGTGAAATATTTCCTGCATGAAGTCAAGAACTCACACACTACCATCAAGGGCCAGGTCCCCTTTCCTGTAATAGTAGCATTAATTAAACCTTACTTTGCATGTACTTGTGGAAGATTGCTTATGACCTTGCTCAGCCTCTGGCATTATGAGAACCTGACTTCTGCCTACCACTTAAAGGGCTTTGGATAGATTTGAATAAAACTGGTGTTTGGCAATCACACATACCAAAAGTCCTGAGTGGCTTCCTCTGGCTCCAGGTAATATTATTTATATTTAACAGAGGCCTTCTGAAGGTTGGGCTTGAACTGAAAGGTGATGTGTGATAAACCACACGTTGGGGACCACACAGGCATCAAATCTTTTGAAATGTATTGTGGGTGGTTGCTGGTCTGATTGTGCGAAGAGCTGGGTATGTAGGTTTCTCTCTGTTCCTTGATATTTCCTTGACCTTAATTGCTGAGACCATTGTTTCCTTCAATTTGTCAAACATTAAGTGTCATAAGAATTAGAATAAATTAGTACAGGCTAATTACCCAGTGACCCAATCTGTCCTCCAGCAAATCTGCCTGTGTCAGCTCCTTTTCACTATTGTAGCCACTCCTGGGTGGTCTCCTGTATTAGCATTCCAGGTTCACTGCTGTCACTAGGGGCTGACTACAGTGACTTTAAAATAAAATAGGACCATTTATTTTCCTCTCCTGTGACAGTCCAAGCTGCCCAGGGCTGATAGTGTTACAGGAAGGGGACCAGGCCCCGAGTAGGTCTACCTCGGGCCAGCCTGTGGTGTGTGGGTTCTTGACTTCATGCAGGAAAGATTTGCATTTGTGAGTCCAGGTGATTTTGAGAGTACGTTTATGGAAGCTGGGACAGTGAAATAAGGAAGGGCCTAGGACAGAAGAAACAACAGGAGACTAGGCAGAGCTGCATTGGCTCTCTAGAAACATAATGGGAAAGAAGTGAGCCAAAGCCAGGCTGCTGTCAGCTCACTGGAAAGTCTGAGGAAAGGTGGTTTTGGGGACAGGTTCAGGGGATTGGCCTGGGATGAGCTGCTGCTACCCATTCCTCCCCTGGTTGCAAGTCTCCTGGGGTCCCTTAGAGTTGAGGAGATACATGCTTGTGAGGGAAGAAAAGGAGGAAGGGAAGGGCATGGGCTGGCTCCCAGGAGGGAGTTAGTGCGCTGGGTCCTTTGTCTTGAGAGTTTTAAAGCCTGGGAATTTAGGGGAGGGCTTAGGAAAGGATCTCAAAAGAATATTCATCAACTTTCCAGGTCTATCGGTTCAGAGTCCTGATCTCTACTGATTGGTTGACACCAGGGTTATTAGTTGTCACAACTGATCTTGTTTCTTTTCTGGAGCTGAAATACAACTGAGGCCTAGATGTTATTTCTAGGGAGGAAAAGGCAGGGTGGGGGTCTAAAATCACATGACCAGTGATATGAAGGGTCAGGGGGTCTAAACCACATGGCCAGCCATGTGCCAGCGGGGGAAAGGCCACCCTGGGGGCAAGGTCCAGCACCAGTTTTACCCGTTGCCAGGCACCGAGCGCTTTCTACTCTGGTGACCTTTTGTATCTGGCTGTAAATTTCTCGGCCAGTTTGTTTAGTTCTCTGTCACAGTTGCCCAATTCCACTTTCCAAGGAATTTCCCTAGCCTTTTTTTGTTTTGTTAAACCTTACCAGAGGATATTTTTTCCATTGCTTTTCAGAGTAGAAGGGAGGGACAGAGAAAGATTGATGTGAGAGACACACATTGACTGGTTGCCTCAACGCAGGCATGTGCTCTTGACTGGGAATCAAACCTGAGACTGTTAGGTGTGCAGGCTGCCACTCTAACCACTGAGCCGAATGGCCAAGGCTTCCTAGCTTCTTACTAACCTGCTTCAATAGGGCAGCTCAATGGTGTGGAGGACCAGGTTCTTGCTTTTTCATTGCTCTGTCGTCTTGGACATCTGGGGGCTGACTCATACTTGAGATGGCTGCCCCGTGTCCTCACAAGCACATTCCAGCCAGCAAGAAGGGTGTGCCCAGGAAGCTGCACACCTAACTTCCCTTCACAAGTCACTGGTCAGGACCTAGTCACATGATCACACCTAGTTGCAAGGGAGGCTGGGAAATGTAATCTTTAGCTGGGAGATTATGTGAACAACTAGAGCTTCTATTACTCTAGGAGAGGAAGTAATACATATTGGAGGGACAGCAGTCTCCCTACAATCCTCCCCTTTGGGCCACCCAGGTATCTTCCCACACAGAAAACATGCAAGGGAGACAGGCCTGAAGTCCTAATCAGTTCTTTTAGCTCAGGGCCCAGGATCTGTGGGTGATTTGTAGTCTCTATCAGCGGTGGAATCTGAACAGGAAGCCAATTAAAACTCTCGTCTGAAATACTTGTTAAAGTAGTTGACAAGTCCGGCAGACAGGAACTGTAAAAGGTCCCTTCTGCTAGGGGAGCAAGTCCTTTGCTTGGTCCATGTGGCAGCCCCTGTTCTCAGGAAGCCAGTGATTCTCAGATGTGTGTCCCAGATTTCTAGTCATCATCAGCACCTGGGAACTTGTTAGAATGCAAATTCCTGAGCCTCACCTAATCTGCTGATTCAGAAATTCCAGGGTGGGGCTGGTTCTGCTGCAGATGAAGGTTTAAGAACCACTGCTCTCCCCAGCTGGTTTGGTTCAATGGATAGAGCCTTGGCCCGAGGACTGAAGAGTCCGGGAGGCAATCAATCGATGTTATTAACCACATTGATGTTTTCATGTTTCTCTCTGTCTCTCACTCCTCCTTTCCACTCTTTCTAAAAATCAATGGAAAAGTATCCTTGGGTGAGGATTAACAACAACAACAAAAAGAACCACTGCTCTAACTCCTGGTTCTCTACCTCCTGGCTTTGTCCCGGAGGCTTGGGGGAGGGGTAGGCATTGGGTGGGGAGGTGTGTGTGGCAGGGGAGGCTCTCCGG